AAGAAACTAAAGTGGTTTTTTTATTTGGTTTGGTTTTTTGCGATATTGGCACTTCATTCTTGTCAGGCAAGTACCCTCCTACTTCCATCTGTTAGACTCTTAGAGCCTCCTGTAACATGCTAGATTTGAGACAAAACTTGTATACATTTTAGCCCAATCCTCTCACTTAAGAAGTGAGAATGAACATACCCAGAGAAGTGGCATAGACAACCCTGTTTGAAAAGCCAGGTCAAGGGGCCTGCCTTCTCACTAACTTACTGTTCTTACTACTTAGGGTTTTCGAATTACCACTTAGGGTTTTCAAATTGCCCCAGCCAGACAAAATATTTCATTTTTTAAAAATTGAATTATATACTTTAAGTCTTTTATTTCCTTTTTATAAGTCAGTCTTCTTCTTTTTTTTTTTCAGGTAAGGGGTAGGTTTATTCAGTAGACCTGCTGGGACCAGGCCTGGTTGGCACTCCACACAGCTGGAAAAGGCCTGGGAAAGACCTGAGAAAGAGAAAGAGCTGGGAAAGAGCTAGAAAAGAGCATCTGGGCCTGGGCTAAGCCTTATCTAGGGTATGAGTGGAGAAAGGCGTGGCCACATCAAGTTCAGATGTGACCTCAGAGGATGTAGGTGTGACCTCTTCCAGATATGCCAGTTGCCTAGGTAACGCGGGTACTGGCGGAGACTTTGCTGTGAGGAGGGTGGAGTCTGCTCACCATCCAGGAGTGGACCTTACATTCCAGCCTTTTAATAATCATGAAATAGGGTGCAGATTCTCTCTGGCTACTTCCTTCTGACAAGGAACGTTGACAATAGGGGTAAAAGGCTGGAATTTGGTCCCCTCCCAGAGAAGGCAGCAAGCAGCAGCTGTCCCTTGGTGGTGTGAGTCCTTAGATGAAGTCTAGAGAACTCTCATGAGGCATTGAGGGGCTGGAAAAAAAATACTAGAGAGCAAATAAATGGCAAGAGGAAGGACTTGGGGCTGAAAAATGTTGGTAGAAATGTCCCTAGCTACTTCTGACATCTGGTGACTAACTAGGTAGAGGAGAAGTCAGGTAACAAAGGCAAAATATAAATTCCTGTCCAGTTAATAGGTAAACAGGTATGGACACTAGATGGGAAAGCTTCTTACTTCTATTGACCTCCTCTGGTTAATTTTGAAAGGGCAGGCACAAAGTTGCTGATGTGACATTATTTCCTCTTACTCCTCTCCATGGTCCCTTGTTCTTCAGACTGGCTGAGTCTAGGTGCTTGCTGCTGGGATGACTTGTCCCAGTTGGTATTCAAGGAGGATTGAACTCAAGGCCTGGGCACTGTCCCTGAGCACTTCTGCTCAAGGCCAGCACTCTACCACTTTAAGTTATAGTACCACTTGCAGTGTTTGCTGGTTCAAGATAAGAGTCTTGAGCCATGCTTCCAGCCTGGCTCTTTGCAGGTTAGTTGGGAAATGGAGTCTTAGGAATTTTTCAGGTCAGACTGGCTTTGAGCTGCAATCTTTGCCACAAAAGCCCTTTATTATTTCCAATTAAAGCAACAAGGAGATCAAATAGAATAGAGCTTACCTAGTCCTTATCAAGAATTGACCAACAACTATTCTGCAATGACAAAACTTGTTAGATTTGATGAGAATTTTAGCACAGATAGGCCCAGTATTTAGAACCACGTAGTCAAGTAGTAGAATATACAACACAAAACAAAAAAGGCAAAACTCAAAACCTAAAATTTTTGACAACAATGTGTAGATATCTTTGATAACAAAGCACATCAGATGGTTGGGCCTCACTTACTAGGGCCTGTGAAAAGAGCAACTTGTTAGCAAGGCACCTTAGAATAGATACATGGATTGGTAAGCTTGGTAGAAGGTTAAGGGTCAGATGGGGCCAAACCCTTAACCCACCATGTGGCCAAGATGGCGAACTCAAGATGGCAAATTTCTGAAGAATGCAAAGAAACCCTGAACAAATAGATCAAGCCTACATTGGCTAGCCTTTGAGAGGGAACCTAGAGTGGAGTCCCCAGAACCCAGCCTGCATTGTACTCTTCAGGGTGCAAGCTAAAATGTAAAAAAGAGAAAGGGAGAGATAGGGAAAGTTGGACATGACTGGCAGAGAGAGAGCAAAGAGAACCTGAAAGTAAACAGACTTCTGACCATTTACCATTGCAGTGGCAAAAACTGTCTACATCTGAGAATGGCATAAAAATTAGGTGCTCTGGCTTTCTGGGGAGCGCAGAAGGCATTTCAAAGGGGTTTTACCACTCGGGTGTGATTCGCAGCACCCCCATTAAATGTGTAGGAGAGTCAGTCTGGTGAGTGAAGGAGAGCTGACCAGGCAAAAGCCACGTCCCGACTTCCCCCAGAGCCCTCCAGAGAGAAATGGCCACGCCCCCAAATCCAAGTGTCCTCGGGGCTTCAGAGGTGACTGGCCTTTCGGCTAAAGGCTATAGGAGCTCTCTGGCATGCTACCACGTCTGGACAGAGAATGAGCAACAGAGAACTGTAGAGAGTAGTTTCACTCACCAGAGTAGAGAAGTGGTGTGGACATGGATGTGAAAGCCAGCAATGGTATCGATGTGCTGTGTCTGCAGCAGACAGATGGGTTCGCAAAAGGCTGTCTGAACTGTGGGTATTCCTCAGAGCAAAAAGGGAAGAACAAACCACAAAAGAAAAAAGAGGAAAAAAAATGGAGGAGGAATCCCACCTATCTTGACTTTAAGCCCTTTATCCGAATCAAGGTACCATTTATGTTAGGTTTTTAAAAGAGGTAGCCGAGTAAGAACAGCACCACGCACGAGGTATTCAGGTAAGAGGTAGGTTTATTCAGTAGACCTGCTGGGACCAGGCCTGGTTGGCACTCCACGTGGCTGGGAAAGGCCTGGGAAAGACCTGAGAAAGAGAGAGAGCTAGAAAAGAGCTGAGAAGGAAAGAGTCGAGGAAAAAGCATGAGTCGGTCTTCTTCCTGAGTGACCTTTTCTTAAACTTCTAGCTATTTCTCTTTTTCATTAAAGGTTTTCTGAAGGACTTATCTTTCCTAACCCTTCTCTTGATCAATAAGGAAAAAAAATACTATGTTAATAAAAGAGGGGTTGGAAACTCTAGCCCTGGAATGTGATATAAATTAATATGTAATAGAGGTAGAAAGGAAGTGTCCCAAGCTCCTGAGGAAACTAATCAGCACCTACAAAACAAAGCACAACAAGAACACCTGAGAAGTCTAAACATAAAGCCCAAAACACACTGTTTGCCAAGGAATGAAAACAAGAGGATGGATGAGCTAGCTCATCTGAAATATCTGCCCAAACCATCACTGTAACCAAGCCTACAGTTGGTAGATTCATTCAGGCAGGTAGTTGTGTAACTAATACTTACACAATACATTTCCTTTTCCTTATTATATTTCAGATAAAGGTCTATGGTGTAAAGAAACAAACTCTCAAAAATTTCATGCTGTGTATTTACCGTAGCTAAGATCTGGAACCAACCCAGATGCCCCTCAGTAGATGAATGGATCAAGAAAATGTGGTATAGATACACAATGGAATTCTATGCCTCCATCAGAAAGAATGACCTTGCCCCATTTGTTAGGAAATGGAAAGACTTGGAAAAAATTATATTAAGTGAAGTAAGCCAAGCCCAAAGAAACAAAAGTCCCATGGTTTCCCTTATTTACAACATCTAGTACATGTATGAGTCAAGCAGAAAAGGTCAGATAAGGTGATGTTAGGAAAATGAACCCTAAGGCATGTATTTTAAATGTTTTTTTCTTTCATGCATTTGTTTCTAATGCAATTATAAGATTATTTCTTTGTTGCTTTGTATGTCCCTCCCCCACAGTATAACCCATGCTTTCACTGTATTTGATGTCGGTATAATTTGTGGAGGGGAAGGGGAAAAACAAGTCATTTAAATAAGGATACAGGTGGAACTGTTGCAACAATGAGAAGTACAAGTTGTCATGTCAAAAACGAACTTTACAACTTGGGGGAGGGGGAGGCTTGGGGGGGAGGGAGGATGGGAAGGGATGGGAAGGGTAAACAAAGGAGGAGGCTACAATGCTTGATAAGAAATGTACTCACTATCTTGCCCATGTAATTGTAATCCCTCTGTACAGTATTTTCACAATAAAAAAAAATATCATGCTGTGTGCCTATAGCTTAAGCCTGTAATCCTAGCTATGCAGGAGACTAAGATCTGAAGATCCTGGTATGGAGCCAACCCAGGTCAGGAAGAAGAGACATCTTCAATTAACTACCCAAAAAGCCAAAAGTGGAGCTGTAGCTCAAATGGTAGATAGCCTTGAGTCAAAAAGCCAAGGAATCGTGCTTAGGCCCTGAATTCAAGCCTGGTTACTGATGTAAGAGAATTTCACTTTCAGAGACAAAGAAGTATTAAAGAAAATGGCTGGATTATTTGATCATGTAAAAGTTGTAGGTTTATGGTTGGTATATAGTAACTTCATGAGATAGCACTTACCTACAACGCATGAGGCTCCAGAGTCAACCCTCAGCACATCTAAGAAAAGAGTGGGAAGTGTTGGTGACTAGGTTTATTTCAAAGTTTTCATAAGAATAGGGGCTTTAAATAAAGTTCAAACCTTGCTTCTACTTAAAGAGTCAGAGAAAACTGCTTCACACACTCTTTAAACCTTGTGATAACTATCCTTCTAATTCCCCTAGAAGTTTGAGTATGTTGCTTGAACTGTGTGCAGTAAAGAATCTTACATTCCTATTTTGACTTCTACTGGAGCTGGGCAATGTATTTAGCTAAAAACTACTCAATAGGGTTATGAAAGGCTCTTTTGAAATGAATACAGAAGTCATTTGAGAAAATCAAAGACTGATTCCAAACTTTATGCTTGTAACCCTCATTGTCCTGGACAATGAAACTTATAGTAATAAGATAGAAAATACACCTAACAAGAAGAGGGACTCATAAATCCAGGAACATGGAGGAGACTGGAAGGAAGTACTCTGAGATTACCACATCCAGGTCAGTACTCTTGGAAAATGCTCTTCTGATTTTTCTGTGTCTAGATGAGCCACTCTTCTGGGGGATTCTTGGTGTGTACAGCTGCGAATTGCTACAGCTCGCTTGTCTGTGAAGCGGTCGTGAAACGCCTGTCATCCTCTCTCTGCCCTCAGAAAGTCTGTAAAATTATGAGAAAGACCACCTCAGAACAAGGAAGGTGATTACTGGTTGAAAATGGTGGCCTGATCATGCAGACCACCAGAGTGGCTGAAATACAAGCAGACTCAGTGGCAAAGGCTGCAGGACAGAGGGCAGCTGGGATTGAAGTGGTGCAGGCAATTCTAGACACTTGACTTTACAGTAAAACTAAAATAAAAATGCTGTTTTGATAAGATCAGTAGTCTTCATATCAGTAGGAATGTCTATTAGAGATTGTTGAACTAGTCCCAATATTGTTAAAAGGTTCTAAGATTCACACACATACATACACATTCAGTTTTCTTTAATTAATTAATTAACTAACTGATTTATTTATTTTGGACATTCTTTTTTCAAATTATATTTTTATTACTTTTAAGTGCTTGTACAAATGGTTACTGTTCATAAAATCAGTTTATAAGTACAATGCTTCCTGTTGTCACAGTTGAACTCAAATATATTGGGAAGTTAATTGGGTATGTCACCAACTGGTTAAGTATGTATCAAAAAGTGTCTTTTGCTTAGCCTTGAGAATTTTGCTTCTCAGTATCTAAAATTTCTCCTAAAACAGTAAAATATATTTACTGAAAATATAATGCACTCTAACTCTCCCATAAGTAAAAATAATAAAAGAAACTTTTTGTGACTGATAAGAATTACCACAGAAGCAAAAATAAGGCCTGGGCATGATGGTGCATGCCTGTAATTCCAGTCACCAATGAGATGGAAATGGTAGGATTGTAGTCCAAGGGTAGCCTAGGCAAAGTACATAAAATATAAACAAAATACTGAGGAGTGTTTTAGGTGCTAGACTCGACAAAGCCCTGAACTGAAAAAACTAGTAGAAAATGTCCACTATTTGTAGCATTGAATTATGAAGACACAAGATCCATACCTCCATGAGGAAATCATATGCAGGTGGCTGTTCTCTGCCACATATTAGCTGAATTCTCTTAACTTACAAGTTCTCTTGATGCTTGTAGCATTACTGGACTAATAAAAGTCATCACTAATCTAGTACTCAGACTGGGTTTCAATGTCTTCCCCAGCACTTAACCAAATTCTCCCGTTGGAAAAGTTTTGCATTTTTTTTAACATCAGCTTTTCTTTTCTTTTTCTTGATTTTTAAAATTATCTTTAAGTTATTGTACAAAAGTTTTTAATTCAACAAGCCATTTTATTAGTACCATACACCATGGTCAAGGTCACTCTCACCCTACCCATACCCTCAAGTCACATTTTCACATCTATCCAATGAGCATTCCCATTTCTGTAATAGGTATACCTTTCTACCTATTAAACATTGTTATAAAAATTACAAGGTTTAATATATGTAATGTAATGGGGTAAAAAATAAGCACCTAGAAAGTTATAATAATTCTTTTATCATTGTGATCATAATTTTTACAGTCATTGTGAGTGAATAGAATGTAATTCTATCCATTATAAACCAGAAATCTACATACCTTCAATTTGATCAAAACTTAATAGATATAGAGACCAAGAAAAATTATTTAAGATCTCTCATTTGAATTCCTCACTTATAAAGGTTTTGTTAACAACTAGCACAATTAATATGACCAAATGGCAAAGTTGATCCCTTAATGACATATCACACCTGCATTCAGCCCATGTTGGGAAATCCTTGTGCTAGAGATGAAAAAATTAGCATCCAATTGATTGGTCTGTTATTTTATGGTAAGTGACAGCTCCCTGGGACCAGCATACCATTCAGAGGTTAATCACATTACAGAACCTGCAAGTTTTTAGAAAATTAGTGACTCCTGTTTCTCCACTTCAAAACCTCTGCCCCCTCTTTTGGTTTAACCTGAATAAAACTATACTAAAAATAAACTATATTAAAATAAACAAAATATAAATTAGTGAGTTACATGTTTTATTCCTAAGAGGTGAAACTGTAGTTAGAAATGTCTTGTGGACCCATTGGTGGATCCTATAATTCTAGCTGCTCAGAAGGCCAAAATCTGAGGATGGAAGCCACATAGAGTTGGAAGTGAGACTCTCATAACCAATTAATCTGCAAAAAGCTAGAAGTGGAGGTCTGGCTCAAGTGGCACAGTTCAATCCCTGCACCGAGAGAGAGAGAGAGGGAAAGAGAGAGAGAGAGAGAGCAGGGTCTCATGAGTAGAATCCAGGTTGGGGCTACTCTGGCCTTCAGTTTTTAAAGAACAGCATCATTGAATGAGAATCTGACTCTCCATCACTCCTCTCCTCTCCTCTTCATATTCATGTCCTGTGTGTTCCCACATTTGCTCCAGGCTGATCCCATCTGTACTGCCTGCCATTCTCTGATGACTTCATGATTCTTCATGCTAATACCTTTGGGTCACCCAGTCCCTGTGCCAGCGATGTCAGGGTACCCCCCCCTCCTTGTGTACCTGTGTACCTTATACAACTCAGCTCAAGTGCCTTTTCCTCTGGAAAGATTTACTTCACCCAATCAACATTGCTCATCTGTTTCTCTGTAGGATGTCTTTTCTCTATATACATCCCAGGCAATGTGTGTGTGTGTGTGTGTGTGTGTGTGTGTGTGTGTGCACACGCTCACTGGTACTGGGGCTTGAACTCAAGTCCTAAGCACTGTCCCTCAGCTTTATCACTCAAGGCTACAGTTCTACAACTTTGGCCACAACCACAATCCTAGCTTTTTGGTGGTTAATGGGAAATAAGATTCTCATGTACTTCCCTGCTGGCTGGCTTCAAACTGTGATCCCCAAATCTCTGTCTTCTGAGTAGATATAATTACAAGCATGAACCACCAACCTGGGCTCAGGCAACATATTTTATTCTGCATCTCCTGTCAGTATTAAAACTCTTTGAATGCAAATACTTTCTCTTATTTGCCTGTTTAAAATTTTGTTGTTTTTTGAAAGTGAACTTTATCTCAAATGATAAGGCTCAGCTCAATTGACACTATCATTTTTTGTCAGTCTTGGTCCTTGAACTCTGGGTCTGGGTGCTGTCCCTAAGATCAGCTACTACCGTACCACTTGAGCTACAGCACCACTTTCAGCTTTTCTGTGATTAACTGGAGATAAAAGTCTCACAAACTTTCCTTGGCTGGCTTTGAACCATGACCTTCAGATCTCAGTCTCCTGAGTAGCTAGGATTACAGGTGTGACCTACCAGAACTCAGCTCAACTGACACTATTTTTGAAGCACTTCTATAGTAAGAAAATATATAGAATTAACAGTTTCTTTTAAATCGCAGTTCTTCAGCTGGGCATGGTAGCATATGACTGTAGTCTCAGCATCTTAGTCCAGAGGCTACATAGTAAGACTCTGTCTCAAAAAAAAAAAAAAGAAAACAAAAAAAAAAATCATTAACCAATTTTGATGTTCAATTTGATCATGAATTTTAAGGATTTTTTTTGTAAAATTGACTAAAATAGAAATAATTTTGTTTTCCAGAATAACTGTAAATGTTTGCTATAACATGTAAAGAACAAAATATCTAGTGTTCAATAAATGCTTAAAATATCGAATGGTTATTTCTCTTCTGTTCAGAATTTTGTTGGTACTTTCCTTTTACCAATCCTTTAACACATGACCATATTTTGCCTTGTGTTATTGGTCTCTCCTTGTCTGTGATTGTGATGCTGATCACATGCTCTGTGTGTGTGTGTGTGTGTGTGTGAGTGCACACTTATGCACGCATGTGGGGTGGGTGGGTGTAGGTGTGCATGCATGCCAGTACTGGGGCTTGAACTCAGAGACTAAACACTGGCTTTCATCATTTTTGCTCAAGGCTGGCACTCTACCACTTAAGTCACAGCTCTACTTTTAACTTTTTTATTTTAATTTATTTGTTATTATGAAGGTGATGTACAGAGGGATTACAATCACATGAATCAGGTAATGAGTACATTTCCTTTTGTACAGTGTCTTCTGTTCCTTCACTCTATCCCTCTTGTCTCCCTCTTATCTCTACCCACCAGTTGTACAGTTGTGGTGAACTCCACAGTCCAATGGAGCTCGATTGTTGCACTTCCAGCTTTTTGTTGGTTAAGTGGTCTCATGGACTTTCCTGTATGTGCTCACCTCAAACTGTAATTTTCAGATATCAGCCTCTTGAGTAACTGGGAGACATGCATGAACTTCTAGCACCCAACCCAGATGTTGTATCTTAAATACTCTTAGTAGAAAAATTCACTCATGACATAGACTCAATACAGGTGTGTTGAGGATCAACTCAGTAAAATAGTAGCAGAAGGTTGAATCTAATAAAATAAGTACCAAAAACATATAAACTTTCAACAAGAAATTCCTTCTATATTACCAAAAAAAACAATTCCTACTCTACAGTTACTATTAAGTGCTCATTTCATAGTTGTTGTTGTTTTCTATTGCTTTCCTTCCCTTAGCAAACAGGCAAAATGATTCCCTCTCAGGGGAAATTATATCCATTAGTCATTTACTACCAAAAAAATTACTTGATGAAACAAAGTAAAATGCTGTAAGTATCTCTGTTTTCTACATTTGATAGGGAATAGTCCATGGTTATCTGGCAAACACAAATAGAATCTTCAACATTCAGTACTGGAAAAGAACTAGACACAAGATTCTGACTAAGGTCCATAGCTCAAAATTGGAGCCTTCACTGAACACAAAGTCACACACATGGCCTTGTGTCCCCCCCAAACTCCTTCACTACAGGAGGTGATTATCTCTGTATTAGCATTTGTCTCTTGCTTCTAAATTTATTTTTTAGGAAGTTGATTTGTAGCTTTGAGGTTGTTGATCTTTTTGTGTTTCTAAGAAACTAAATATTACAGTATTGTTACTATCTAGAATAAAGAACTGAGGCTAACATAAAGAATAAAGACAGCTAAAAATGTTTTATGCCCTCATTTTTTGGAATCCTGAAGTTAAAACTTACTGTTAAAAAAAATAAAAGAGCTCAGGTTATGACCCTGAGTGGAAAATACTTCTGTCATTGCCTTTTATTCTATTTATCAT